TTGCCGTGCGAGGAATCCGTGTCATCGGAAGAAAGGCGGTGTGGCATATCATCTTCCACTGGTGCCCCGCCAGCGTAAACCGTTAGCGCAGGCGGGTGCACCATTCCATAATCACGCATTAAAAAAAACCGCTAGACCACCGAGGCCGTCAAAATTATATACCTATTTATCTCAACTATTTACCTATATTTACCCTACAGTAATTTTCTAAAGAGAAACCTTGAAGGATGACTAGAATAAATATTTTTATGCATTTACATATTGTTTATTTATTAGCGTATTTCTATTCTCTAATAACTTTATTAGTTAAAAAATTATAAAATTCTTCAAGTATCACGATGTTTGCTCATTTCAAACCATAGTTACAGGCGTCTCCCGAATACATTGATATGAAATAAATCAACTTAAAACCATAGAGCCACAGGTCTTCCTGAGTTAGTCACGAAGAAATCATTGGAAGTTTTCTATTGGAGTACAATATGAATAAGAAAACGCTATTTCCGCTGTTTACTGCAGGTATAATCAGACCGAGCTGCAGTTATTTTTACCTTTTTACTACCTTCTAGGAAATATAAGCCTGAAGGTGATATGTAGTATCGAAAAGTCGTGTCACCCGTTCATATGGTCAAGGCTATTAGAGATAGTAATTGTCCCATAAAAGTTTCGTTCTTTAAGCATTTCCTCTTAATGGCACCACGTATTAAGAGCCTGGGGAACAGCTAGTATTAAGGAATAATTGTAGAAATATGTATGTTATAAATTAATGTTATATTTTATTACACGCGATATAAAATAATGATATAAACCTACATAGTATTTAATGACTATTAAAATGGAACACGTATACCAATTAAATCTGCCTGAAATAACAATCTGCCGTGTACACCAGATGTACCAGTATGCTTCTCGGAATATTCTCGATTACGATCTGATTCAGCGTCAGACGAATCTGCTGGCTCTATTACTCTAGAACAGGATGTGGGGGTTATGGAGATAAGTCGGATATCCGATACGTTACTATAATATACATACCGTAGTACTCCATATATCCATAACCGTGACCGAATTAGATTTTATGATAATGTCAGATAATACCGAGGATTTACGGTATTTATTATTGATAATTAATAATAATATTATTTATTATTAATAATAAATAGGTTTATACCTAAACGATCCACACAGCGCCATCTAGTCACAAGATAAGCAGAACTTGTGTTTTTTTATGGATGATAATGGAATGGTGCACCTGCGCTAACAGTTTACGTTGGCGGGGCACCAGTGGTGGATGATAAGATGAGCTTGAGGTCAGGTTAGTTAGCCCATCGTGGTAAATTCACTAGGAATTTGTAATGATAGTTGAACCACGTGGAGGTCAACCTGACATGGGACATTGCTAGCAATGAGGTCTTCAGTCCCTATTACTAACAATCCCTTTTCACCTACAGAACTTGTTTTATGGGTACCAGACAACTGCTAGAACACTTAAATACATTTTATTTGTAAATACATGCATAATAAACATACTCGTAGTAAACTCTCATACCTGAAAATATCCGAAGCTAAATATATGGAATATCCTATACTTATATCCTTAATAAAGTTAATTCCATAACCATATCTCAAATTGGTGCAATATTGTATAAATACCAATAACCACTATCTAGATTCGGAATTTGATATCCACATCATCCGTGCAGTGTCACCCGTATATATGCTAGTACTGGATATAACATACTGTGCTGATATCAACAAATTCTTTGGCCCACATTAACTCGTGACTGTACTGCATTCCATAGCAACGCAATCGAGCGCGGAAGGTCGCCCCAATCCGCTCTGTGGTCATACCTGTTGCCAATTATATTTAAAATTAACAAATAAAGTGGCAAGAATATTCAATGACCTCCGTGACGAAATGATGGACACGTTGTTCTTTCCAATTCTCAGGTATTAATAATAATGGCAATCCCATTCCAATTTAAAAGAATAAATCTGTATTTTGTAATCATGAAGAAGTTGATTTTAAAATAAGAGCTGAGTTTCTTGTCAGTTCTTCTTAGCTAGAACTCCGAACTGACGATATATTTGAGATTTCATAAAAATCTGTTATGACTTGGCTTTGGTACAGGGACAATTTTATCCTCGTTCGCAAGTTTGTACGCGATTTTGATTTAAGAAAATCGGTGAATATATTGTACAAGGTTAGAGCTAAATTTACCTAATGTACGAGATTTCGTATGAGTGTTTTAAGGCTGGCAACCCTGGAGTCCCAACAACTTAGTCGCTCATGAATTGGCAACACTTGAGATCTGGTATCATTGGCGACTATCATCACTTTTCATCAGCAGCACCTTCAACGTCTTATTTCTTCTAATATAATTGAAATAAGAGCGAATCTCTAATGAAAGCTACGAGTTAACATGTCGTCGATAAAATAGAAAAATGGCAGTATTCATAATTCATAAAAGTAGAATTTTCTAAGAATTCATTCAATTCATTGATTCATCATGCAAAATTGTTTGCTTTGGTAAATTAACAGATAATGCAAGCATTGCGGGACTTAGGAAATAAACGCTATCCTTGAATTTTTTTTAACATATAATTTATTATTATTGGTACTCGGAATTGAAAATTATCCGCAGTCAATTTGGCTCTACTGAGTTGCAAATTGTCACGCAAACCATATGTAGTTGCGACATCTCGGTGGTCGGAGTAATTCAAGAAACGTTTGCCAAGAATATCCAATTCTGTATCATTCTCTCAGATGTTCCATATCTGATTTATTTTAACAGAGGGCCGGCCTAATGGTACAGTAAAGTACAGTTATTTTTATTATTATTTATATTAGAATGCAAATGTAAATTGGTCCCTGTTTTACCCACTTCACCTCGCTTTTAAACCGTTGTACGTGTATTGTAATAGAGTATTGACCACAAATATTTTTATTTCCAGGCAAGCCTCCGGCAGTTGGATCTGTCCCTTCTCTCAGAGCTGTGGACCCTCAGCGAAGCTATGGCGTCTTGGCGGCGACAACTGGAGCGGGGTCCTCGCCTCCGACCAGCACCGCCGCCCCCGCCACCGCCACACTATCTCAGAACTTAAGACAATATCATCAGATCAATAAAGGAATTTCAAATGTAAACCGTCTTAATAATTATTACAATGATTGGCCACAAACTGTTTTGAATCTATGTATAATTCACAACGCACGCCTGATCAAGTCTAATGTTTTGCTTGAGCTAATGTATATTTTGGCATAATACATTAAAAAAGCATTGTGGTATTCCCATGGTATTCCCAAAAAATATGATATACAAATCGACGGTTGACATGTTTGCTAAGTCGATTATATCAGGCGCTGTGTAGAGATTTTTGTCGTGTGAATAAGATATTGTGATTGCACACATCAATGAATACATAATGGATTAAATTATTTATATTCAGATTAATATCAAATTAATCTGTCTACATTTATGCATATATATGCTATTACGAAACATTACTTCGTTCTATACGTTGCTTTAATATATTTATTATTATAATTGTGTATAAAAAATAAAGGTATATAAAAGCACATTTTAGAACGAATTTGCTTTCAGAAATAGTTTTGGTAAATGTAGATAATTTTAATAAATGGCTACTTTTCAAAAATTCGGCTTATCATGGATAAATTTGAGAAACCTTAAAAATTTCTGTGTCATCAATAATTAATAAAGTGTTACGTAGATTTATGTATATCGTGTGCATTGTAAAAACTTTTAGTTATAAGCTTAGGCATTTTCGTAAATAAATATTTAATAACAGTTCCATGTGTTTTTGTTAATTAATAGAAATAACGCCATCTACAATAAATTACAGCTATGAAATGTGACGAGTATATAATTGTATATTGCGGAGTGCTTGGTTATTTGATACTTAGGAATTTAAGAACTATATGGCCAAATAACGCACCGGAATTAAGCAGAGCATCTCCTATGGACTAATATAAGTAATACAATATAAATATATATTTGGAAATATTCTTCATATAGAAAATACTCAGATCATTTAAAGTGTATACAAAATGTTTATATAGAAGGGGCTTGAACCTTAAACACAAAGAAAGTACGGTTAAACCGCTACTCAAGGTCGTCAGTAATTCTAAGAAGTTCATAGAATCAAAATGATAATGAGATGAATAGCGAAATATAATATCTTTACAGACAGAGGCACAGAAAGGTTTGTGAAAATGACAATAGTAATTGCTCATAACTAATAATCAAATATTTCTAAATAGGACTCATAACAACAGGTTTTATCAAAAGTAACTTACATTGAAAACCCTTTTTCCTGCATTTTTAAAAGAACAAATTCGACTATTATTTAATTTAAACTAGTTAAAAGTTCTGCAAATCGTATCAACAATAAAATTAAATAGATATTACAAATTGTATATATAAATATAAAATAATACAAATACAGATAATTCAAACCAGCCAATCTAGTCCCAAGCTAAGCAGAGCTACTTGTGTTCTGAATATAAAAATATTTAAATACTTTGTTTGGAAATACATATAAAATAACTAGACCAATACTAACAATCATACTTATAATTACAACAGTTTGCACTCTACGATACATTGAACCCGCGACCATCGGAAGTAAGACTTAGTGCTAAACTGCTAGGCCATCGAGGAAGTCAAATGTCCATTCCTATGCATTTATTTAGGTTTTTTACTGCTACAAGTAGTAACACACAAATTTCACCGTTAATGTTATTAATATAACGCTCTTGCAATTATTTCTTTTTTACGACACAACTATAAAATATTAATAAAATATAGTAATCTTTTAAATCGCTTATATACGTAGTGATTACTTACTCAGTCAGTGATCACTACGTTTACCATCGTAGCAGCGGTAGAAACTTTTCTAGCAAGTGTAGGACAATAGTTAGCAACACTGTTTAATTGTCAAAATCAATGTCATTTTGACAGTCAGTGGCCAGTGTTAAAATCAAATACTGTCAACTGTCACTTTTGTTTATAGCAACTGTATCTAACCAAATTGATTCATGAAAATAATTAAATAAAACAACTTTAAATATTAAAACAAAATATCAACGAACTGCTTCTAGTATTAATAATACATTATTAATTTCAACCGATGTCAGAAACTTCACTGCAAGGAAGTGCCAAAGAAGAGCAACCACCGTCCAAGATACCCGAATCGGTTAAGGTTAGTGCCGATTTATTGGTTTCTCTATTTTTATATATAGAATTATTTCAAAGATCGATCTATTGTTACAGAAAATAATATCAATGGAAAAGGAGAATGAAACGAACGCTAGTCGCAAATCACGAATTGATCTCAACGCATTACCTACTCGCCAATACTTAGACCAAACAGTGGTTCCGATACTCCAACAGGGTCTATCAGCACTGGCCAAAGAACGACCGCCAGATCCAATTAGTTATTTGGCAGCTTACTTGCTCAAAAATAAAAGTACATTTGAAAATAGTAATACTGGAACAAATAATAATCCCCCTCAAAATCCTCAAACATAATTATAATGATAATATTAGTTTAGTTTTTATTATAACAACATGTTCAACAAAACCAGTGTGGATTCTATTCTAGTACTTCAGCTCAATAAATATTGACTTACACAATGTATATTTATTATTAAATTAATGTATCTATAATGAGTAAATTACTCAAATCATCTTGTGTTCTGTAATGTAGATTTACTATTAATTATAATAATGGTAAGAATTTGAATTTATTTCGATGTATAGGTAAGTATTATAAAAACTTACTTTTGAGTATTTTTTTTATATTTATGTATAAATATATGTATCACAATATTCATTAGTAATATAGTTACTTGTTATAATATACATTTTAGTATCATTATCATCAAACAACCAAATTACATTTTTGAACTATACTTTTATAATATATGCTTATCATATATTATAAAAGTATAGTATAATGATTACCCATCAACAACATATAAATACTGATCTCGTCATTATTAACAGTTATGTGTAGTTATTTAAGGAGATTGTCTACAGACTGCTTTATAATTAGATATTGAAGTAGACAATATGTTAATAACAAAATTTTCATATGGATCCTAACATTCGTGTTACATCATTATAAAGAAAATGGTAAAATAACATCTTCACCACACTCCATAGTACATAGCAAGTGTTTAAAATCCTGCAATGAATGATTGCAAATTGAATAGTAAGACAGAAAACAAGCTTTAATATAACAGTTACAGATTATGTAGAAGAATTCATTTAAGTAAAATAATTCATTCTAGTGCCTTATTAACACCTGATATGTTCTGCGAAGCATTACTGACTATTAAAATTAATATCTGATGAATATGGAATTTGTATTCCTGAAGACATTTTTAGCCAATCTCGATGTCCATGTAAATAACTGTATCTATCAATTTAGAATTAATACAAAAGCTCTGCCTTGAAATTTTCGAAAGTTTTATTCTTGCCACATAATGTAAATTCTACAGGCAATCAACTTGCACCTATATATTAGTAAGATTATAATATAACTTTTTAGCATTAATAACATTTGGTTGTACAGTATTTTTGTAATTGTTATGTATATTTTGTGAATGCACATAAAATTACAATCATTTAATTCGATGCAGAGTTATTACAAACTTATGTATGAATCTAGACTTAATTTTATAGTTTCATAATACGAGGATGAAATTTTGAAAATGTCAGCACCATGGTCTGTCAGTCTCTCCTTATAATATAATATTAAAGTGATAACGCGACAAACCAGGTGACATTGTATTGGGATGCATTTTTATTTCTCCTACTGAATAATAAGTACACTAAAGTAAAAATATTGGAAGAGGGTGGAACCCTGACCGCAAATGATTCAGTTAGATGCTGGTGAAGGTCAATGTATCAAGAAAATCTGTGATTATATATAAATGTTTATATGTATACACAAACATTTACATATATTGGAATATATCATAAACCACACATCTAATTTATCTCATCTAAAAGTTGACAAAAGAGCATAACTAAGCGAAAGTGTTCTTCTTGACGAAATATGTACTCAAACATCTTTCTAGTTTATCTAAATCTATTTGATAATTTTAAAATAATTGCAACAATGTTTTTATATGAAAACAAATCACGTACAATGAACTAGCTATATTTATTATTTCTGCTGAGTTTCTTCAAGGAATTTTTGTCTGTGCAATAACCACGAGTCATTGTCATCGGCACCCTCTTCTTCGAGTACGACGGACGGTGGTTCGAAGTGCATGATGTCGGTTTCGATGCTCTCGTCTGTTAGTGAGGGAACTGAATCATGCACTGGCAGAGGTACAGGCTCGGGAGGCAAAAACTCCGCCATGTAAGCTGTGACGTTCCGAGCACGCCAAACGGCTATTTTACCTACAAATCAGAAATCAACTTTAAATATGAGTGCCAAACAATTACAGTACATATTTGTCTTGTAAGGCCTAAGAAGTACAATTATTCCACATATTGTACTAATAGCCTGACTGTCTCTTTCTCATACTATTGTCGTCCACTGACTGTCAGAGTATCGTCAGCACCATCCGATCTTTATACAATAAAAAAATCCTATTGTAGATCCTCACATTTCGCCCAGAACATTGACTTATCCTCGACTTTACCTGTTGTCGCCATAGCTAGAAGAAGAAACTTTATGTTCTCATTTACCTAGAGATTCGTCAATTTCTGCTTCCTCTTCCTCCTCCCCTTTTTCCTCTTTCAAGTTTTTCTCCTCTTTTTCTTCCTCACCTTCACCATATTCTTCCAATGAGGGATCTTTTATCAACAAGTAAAAGCCATGTTGCATACAATTGGTATCGAAAACGAAACATCCAGGTCCTTTTGGCATTCCTTTCAACCATGAACCATGGTATCTGACTCTAGGATAAATAATTTGACCTGGCCCCTCAATCACGCCATCAACCCATGTTCCCATGAATTTGACTTGAGATTCTGCAAAGAAATAAGTTCCTAGGCCGTGTCTCTTGCCTTTAAACCATGCGCCCTCATAAATATCACCATTTGGATAGTAATAAGCACCAAATCCTTGCTTCATATCATGCCTCCAGTCGCCTTCGTATCGCGAACCGTCGGGGTATGTCATTGTTCCAACTCCATATTTCATTGCTCGTCGCCATTCGCCTGAAATAATATAGATATTTTAAACTTACTACTTCAATTACAGGTGCACTATTGCACCTACAATTGAGTACTAATACTATACTCAATTGTAGGTACAATAGTACACTGTAACTCTCAAATGGTTTAATTTTTATAATCCTTGAACTGTTGATTTTTCTTCCATCTTTATGGCAATCTTGAAATTTAATCAACAGATTTCAATTAATATTTTCGACATAATAACGAAAAGTTAAAAAGAGGTATACACTATTAAAATAAACTGTTTTTTATACCAGCCATCCATCGGTCATACAGTCCATCTAATGGTAAACAAAACAGTATAGGTCTCTGAAATACCAAGGGTGTCACGTGTTCGTTGCCAATCTTAAAAACTGTTACCTTCATATCGAGCCCCGTTTTTGAACACATAGAGGCCTTTTCCATTTCTCATACCACGACAATAGCAACCTTGATAAAAGTCCCCATTAGGAAGTACTGCCCACCCTTCTCCATGTCGCTCGCCATCAACATTCCTACCGCCTACATAAGTCTATAGAGCAATTATCGACATTAGTATATTTTGCTGTTAAAGAATATCAGGCGATTAAATATAGTAAATATGATTAAAATATAAATAATGTAAAATATGACCCATTAAAATTTACCTTACAAATAGTACCTACGATAACTAAAACAGTTTTATACTTTTGTATATAGATACTAAATCAACATTACCCCGATAGTATCAACATCTTCAGGCCCTTCACCTTTTTCCTCAACCATAATTAAATTTTAAACTTATGAAATAAATCGATATAATATAATGTAAGTTATGTCATTAATGAAATGTTAGGATTACTTCGTGTATAATGTTGGCGTCCTTGTCAAAATCCATAATTATGGCTGGCAGTAATGCCAGTAACACGAAGCATAAATAAATCTTTTGTAAATCTAACTGTACTACTTTAACTTAGGTACATTTAAAGTTGTACAGTTAGGTTTAGTTTAGTTTTGTTAGTTACATAAGTATAGGAAATATAATGTGAATAAAAATCTACACATTTATACATATAATTAAAAAATTATCGATTGCTGTCTGTAAGTAGATACATAGAAGATATATGAGAGAAACTATTATTGGGAGACTTTAAAGACGTAATAGAATCCAAAAAAATATTATGTCTGTCTGAGAATAGTACTTATGCACAATTATTAACATTTAATAGAATACAATTGTAGTGTCTATAATGTTAAATTGACAGCTTATCACTAAATGCATATGCAGTATTTATATCGAAAAACTATTAAATTATAATAGTTTTTCGATATAAATACCGCATATTTACCGCGTTTTTGTCTGTTTCTTCTTAATAATCTCTGAAATGGCTGGACCGACATTGACAGGACTTTCACTAACAATTAGGTAATGTTATAAGGTGTAACTTAGGCTACTTTTTTATTTTAGAAATTTTATTTAATACTAGCTGTGCCGGCAAACGTTGTTTTGCCTTAAAATAAAAAAAAATTAGGGATGGACTACCCCTAACATTTACGGGGATGAAAAATAGATGTTGGCCGATTCTCAGACCTACTCAAAACGCCCACAAAATTTCATGAGAATCGGTCAAGCCGTTTCGGAGGAGTATGGGAATGAAAACTGTGACACGAGAATTTTATATATAAGATAAATCCACAAGGACAAAATAGCAGATAAGTTATAGCTTGTACTAGCTGCTACAACTGATATGAATACATAGATACATTTTTTTTGTAGACCACCGAAGGCGTCTATTTTTTGGTAGAAATGAGTATACCTATATATTTTTTGTGATTTTCAAGGTCGAATATGATTTCCTGTTGTGAGTCTGAATTAAAATCTTACGCAATTTTTATTTTGTTACTAACAGAGCCCGTAATTACGTGTCCTTATATTTTTTTATATGAATACTAGTTGACCCGTGGCTACTTCGTTGGGCGGTAAATATTTTTACAAAGTTTATCGACCTCCGACTGTAAAAAATTTTTAAAGTACCAATACAACACATGTTTTTTATTGAAAATTCATATTTAGTTTATTTAAAGTTTTCTCATATATTATTATCCATAAACAAACAACAAAAGTTTTCTGAAAAGTAAACTTTTTATTATACCAACCTAGTGGTATTTATTTTCCTAAGTTATTACATAATCTAATACCTACATACTGAAATAATAAATAACAATTAAACGGAAATAACTTTATTTGTCATAAAATTCGCTGCGTAAATTACAATGCATTAAATTAAATAAAACATACTTAAATACTAAATAAACGAAACGACGATAAATTATAGTCCAGGAAATTCTAAGGTTGTTTATTTTATAGGCAAGTATAAGAGATCTGACTAGAAGTCGTGGGCAAAATGAGGACGTCTTAAGATACCTTTTGGATATTAGTGGTCATTTTTCAACAGTATACTACAACCACAGATTAAATATTTAGTACTTTCTACTACTTATTCTATACAATCTCAAAAAGTATACTGCATAAAAAGAATCTCTAACGATCGACTGGTAAATAAATTTAAATAATTTAATTCATTTCTTGGCACTATCATTAATTACAACATAAAATATAATTCACATCAAAGGAATAGTATTTTAAGTATTACATAACACAAACAGTAGAAAACATAAACATTACCAGCATTACCAGATTATTTATATATTCTGTGACATTAAATTAGTTGAAAATAGCTAAAATAATAATAATACATTTAATACAAAGTTTATCCGAAAAATCACAGATGTTATTATAACGATTATTAATAAATTTGTATAGCCTCATGTATGGATAACCCAATCATAAAATTTATGTAAACGAAATAATATAAATTTCTTTTTTAATAAATTCTGTTACCGTTGGTATAAATAAATATTTTACTATTCCATAAGCATTTTGAATGTCTAAATTAGAAATTCGTGAAGTCATTAAAACTAAAATCTACATGTCTACAAACTAATTTCTTATTTCATTTGTACTGTACGGTATTTATGTATAATCAAACACATATTCCATGTTGAATGATATTCTTTAAATATTTCTTCTACTTTCTGGGCCCTATACTTAGGTACCGAAAGTTCTGTTATATTAGAGTATTGATAAACAAGGTCAAACACGTAAGTGATTCTTTAGACCACGAAACTTGTCATGACCTCGATCAAGTCAAATTCCAAACAAATAAACGTGTAGTACGGTGTTCACTGTTCATTCATTACTTTATCCTTAGATAGTTACCAATGAATAGCTATATTTTTAATACCCCAATTAATTCAACGCGGTGGTGCTTGCGGTGGCGCCTCTTCTAACTTACCCCACACCACATTACACATTTCCCTCACTAATGCCTGTTCTCCAGTGTCTAAATCTGGCGCTGGTCTTCTTCTTTCCCTTTCCACTCGTTCTCTTACTTCTAATACTTGTAATGCACGAACTACAGCCTCAGGTCTTTCGCTAACTCCTCCGCCTATTCCTTTTTCTGCCTCGAGTTTTCGTACTTTTTGCTCCAAATCTCGTACATATTGCACAGTGCGTTCTGCAAGTTGAGGATGAGTAATAGGAACAGACGTTGGGGCTCGCGAAACTTCCTCGGCATTTGTACTACTGCTACTGCCGTCACCGTCGTCCCTCTCCCTTCCAGCTGCCCTGCCACAATTCATACAGGTGCTTCTCTCATGCTCTTCATCCAACAATAAAAATAAATTTTTCATCTGTAAATTATCACGAATTAATTCCTGTTGCTTTTCGTCCAATTCTTTTAATTTATTCTGGTATGCTGACACTTCTTGACGCATTACAGATGCTGTATACCTGCCAAATCGTTGCCACTCTCGAGCTAATTTACGTCCCTTCTGTCGGTCATCATCTAAAAAACAACACAAATCACGAAGTTCTCGATTGTCCTCGCTCAGACGTCGATTAGCTTCTTTCAGTGCCTTTATTTCGTCTAAGAGCGTTTGAATTTGACGCCTTTGATCTGTCGATGCTCGCGGGCCATCACTTTCAACTCGTTTTGTAAATTTGAGCATGTCGGCGGATCTTCTATGTATCTGCTCCTCTTCTATATTCCTTTGGGTTCGTTGAGTATCGTCGGCACTTCTTGCTCGAGTTGTAGGCTCCACAGGTTCGTGTACAATAGCCTTTGTTATTACTTCAGCTGAAGGGCGCAATACACGAAGTGCACCTGGCGGTAAAGGATATCCTGCGGGGTAGCCTTGTGGATATGCTCCAAACGGGATCGATCCGCTAGGATATGCACCCGGTATTCCACCGTGCGCTCCTAGCGGATAATGTAATTTGCTCGGATCGATGGGTTTACCGTATGGAGGTTTAAACTCTTTAGTGGTCGAGTCAACAGTGGCTATATTGGGAACACTTGCCGCTGGCGGAGGCGGATGATATCGTGGTGGAAAGTTAACCAGTTCTGAACCTTGTTTACCTAGTTGTTGCTTCTGTTTACTAAACTGGCCTATGTTCGGATTGATTGACATTGTTATTGAAACAGATTTGCTATCACCTCATTACTCAATTCATTGTTCCTATGCTTCTCTGACGATTGTGTTCAAATTGGCACCAAATTGGGATATAGAGCTCTTGAGAAAGCCCAAACAGCATGCGGTCGACTATTGGTCCTTGAATGAACGAAAGAGGGGGACGCCGCCGGCTGCGTAGGTTGTGGACCGTGGCATTCGCGCTATTAAACTATCTCGTGTTTTTTTATGTTATATAGAGACACTAAATACACTTCTTGCACTTTTTCTTCCATTTAAAGTTTATTGGTCTGGACAATAATAACACTTGTAGGCGATTTTTTCTTGTTTGATAATAAAAGTGTATAGTTTAAGATTGTACTTAATAGCGCCTATATCGTGCGGCAAGAGGACGCGGGAGCGCGCGGGGCGCCGGTCTCGGACTGGCTCGACGCCTCCGCAACTCTACCTGGCCGAAGGCTCTCGCGGTGTCCCGCTCTACCGAGCCCTCTCACCTGTGTTCACACACACAAAGTTAGCGTATATTCGTGAATAGCAATTATTGTCATCTCCACTATACACAGACGTGCGCATGCGCAAGTGCGCATCGACATGGGTTATGTTGATTAAGAGCATGCACATGGGCTCTGACGAGTAATTCATTCGCGTTAAATAACCTACGTCTTTAAAATTCAGTAAATTCTTTCTATTACAAGTATAGAACTGAATATATATTTTTCTTGCTGCAGACAAAGCTACATCACTAATTTTCAACTGAGGCCTTAGAGTAAATAAATGCACATAAAACAAGTAGTACAAAGAAATAATTTTGGATCGACTTATACCGAGAAACTAAACCAATCAGAACATAGATTTTAGGTTAGGTGATTTCTAATAATTCATTATGTCAACTTAAACTGTCCATACGTTTCTATTTAAAGTATTAAAACAGTGTTGTTACATTACAGTGGCAGAGCGAGTAAAGTATAACGGGTAATTATCCAGAAGAGGATACGAGAAGGCATACATAGAAAAAATCGAATATTTATTACTCAATTTACAAAAAAAATGTGCTTAATGTATAGAAACGGAAACATAAAGGTGTTAAGATAAAGGAGGGCTGAGATCCTCATCTGTACCATTTGAACACAGCTAACCATGGGTTTGCTGGGTTCAAATGGTACAGTTACACCGCTAAAAACAAGGTTATAAGGAAAAACCTAAGCACTCCAATTCAAGGTTTTGAATCATGTATCCATGATCACAGAAAAATTATGTAACATTTATTATACAATTTATAATAAAAAATGTGTTTAATTAATAGAAACGATAACAAAATTATTAAGATAAAGACATCGTCATCTATCTCAGATTTCAGAAAACTCTTATTTATAATAGAATAGCCAGAAGTGGAATGGACAAATATAATTATTTTATAAGAAATAGCGTAACTTATCGGACATTGATTCAAAATAAGTTAGAAAAGGATGACGACCTCGGTGGTCTAACGGTTTAGTACACCACTTTTCTTACCGATGGCCGCAGGTTCAATTAACTCACAAAACAAACATACTGATGTATTTGTGTATATTTATTTGTATTGGTCGCAGTGTTTTGTTTTTCTGTGTGTATTTTTGACGGTCTCGGTGGTCTAGCGTTAATGCACAGGACTTTACTTCCTATGGTCGTATGATCGATTCCTCACACTGGTCTAACATTTGTATTCATAAATACAAATGTTTGTACAGTGCGTGTTTGTATAATTGTTTGTATTGGTCCAGACTACAAGTCTAAATATATACGTAATACACATAAAACACATCCAGGTGATATCTATCTAAATTATGTATGCACTTATACAAAAATATAAGTATATCTATTAGTTGTCTAGTACCCACAACACATGCGCTATATAATATGGGAATATAAAGCACAATTTCTATCCTGGTCTATTTACTATTCTTAAATTGATCAAAACTGTGCGTATACAAAAATAAAAAAAGTATAATAAAATAAAAATACATTTGTTACATACATAATGTAGCCATAGAGGTCAGACAATAGGTTCAGGGCCAACGTCAACTGAAGTTAATACACCAGTGATTTCAGCATAGCATCTTATTTTCCAAGAGTTTAAAATATACTTATCTATATGACGGACTCGTGGGTCTAGCGGTTCAGCACGCCGCCTTACATCCGATAGTCACGGGTTCGATTCCTCGCACGGTACAAACATTTATATTTTTGACTAAGACTGTTTGTATCGATCTGGTTATTTTCTATGCATATTATGTACATATTTATAAAAAATATGTATTTATATCAGTTGTCTAGTACACATAACACAAGCTCTGCTTAGCATAGCACTAGATGGCGCTGTGTGAATTGTTTTAAGATATTATTATGTAATTTAATTTTCTAATATTAGCCAGTGCTTATTAATTTTACCAAAAATAATATTGTAATTAAAATAAAATTTACTAAAAATATAATCATTGAAATAATTTATTTTGTCGAGAGTACAAACGTAGATAATAAATTTAGTCTTAAATATTTGCCTATTTACTCTTAACGCATCGAATTTAACACCGAAATACAAATATACCCACCACAGAAATGACTTCATTAATAGCTAATACAAATTTGTAAAGCCGAATGAATTATAAATATGTTTACTTTAAAATATATTTAAATATTAGCTTATTTGATTTGATTATGTAAGCGCTAATTTTTCCCGCCATGCAACATCACACCGGTAGAAGGTCATACAACATCAGAAGTAGGGATGATCACTCGTTACTAGCAATGTACCATGTCAGATTGACCTCCACGCGGTTACCCCTGGAAACCATCGTGATAAATTACTAGTGAATCACTAGTGGTCACGATGGGCTAACTGATCTCTAACCTCATGTTCATCTTATCCTCCTCCACTGATGCCCCGCCAGCGTAAACCGTTAGCGCAGGTTGGTGCACCATTCTATTATCATCGAAAAAAAATACATCGATGTTAGTTCTTCGATAACACTGAAAGTGGAAAAGAACCGTGAAATTGAAAACCCAAAAATGGTACATAACTAGTACAACAGCTGATGATAATGGATGAACTAAAACAAAATGTGTACTTGATAGTTGTGGATTTAATAAATATAATTGATTCGATATACAAATTGATATGAATTTATGAGGGTTTTTTGGGTACAGAACGGCATCTAAGTTCAATGAAATTTTATTTGATATATCTCTATAAAGCAATATAACAAGAATAATAGAAGGACAAGAAACAATGTAAAATCGTTGACACATAACTTTCCGAGTGCCTGTACTAACAGAAATCAGATAGACTACTTCAGAAAATCTCGAATTCCCCATGGATATTGATTATATCGATCATTCCTAATCGGCTAGACACAGTAATAAAGTAATTGAAAGTAATTACACCCTTAAAGAAATGACTAATAACAAAAATTTTTTAACCATAATTTATTTAAATGTTTTGCAAGTTAGTCTCTTCTTGTTGTGAGAAAATAAATGACGTGTTTAATATGGAATACGTGGGGAAAGAGATTATTAGTAATGTGAATTAATTATGATATAAATAGTTCACATTAACATAGCACATTAGCTAGTACTAAATCAAATGGAGGTAAACGGGGTTCCACCTAAATAGTGGTGATAAATTACTGGTGTATTTGTCACGATATGCTAACTGGTGCTCCTCATGCTCATCCTATCATCCCTCACTGGTGCCCCGACAGCGAGCGGATAATCATCCAATAAAAAAAGGGATATCGTGATATCCGCGTGAATTCGGAAAGTATATTTACAATATTTCTTCACATCATTAAGTTTCAGTCGTGAAATGGTAAGAAACAAATAGACGGACATACTTATTATTTCATAGTAACAGTATCCTGGGACTTCATCATACAATTTATACAATAAAAGTAGGCTAAGCTACTCGTTATAGCTATCTGCGAGCGAGAGTCCAGTCAAAATCGGTCTCTGTTTAGACAGACAAAATTTTACTTAAATTATTTTTTATGACCTTGACCGCATCTACTTTGCATATGCATTTAGCTGTTAATTGTAAATTATAAATAGTCACTGTAATTTTATTTATTTGTACATAGTTCAATTTAATATTAATATTATTTTTAACTGTATACGTATCTGTTAATATGTTAATAACTAAATTAAAGTAAACTATTATCACTTTTTTCAGGAAATAAATGATTTGATTCGATTTTATTTAATTTTAATTTTGTCATAACAAATTGTAATTACACCAAATAGATGCAGTCCATAAAGAACGCACTTATTTATTATTATTAGTATATAAGTGCGTATTAAATACGTCAATAATCAATTGTATATTATGTAAAGTAATATAAAATTGATTTACAGATGAACTGTATAATTTGCAATCATTACAAATGTCAGTTGCGAAGCTTACGAAACGCATAGACTTCCAGCAAAGTGACGCAGAGGAAAAGTGTACGCAATGAAAATTCTTTTACATACTGAATATATTACAAGTGTCCCCCCCAGGTCGAATACGATACAATATACCAACCAGTCATCAGCCAGGAAGGATGGCGATTGCACGGGCGCCAACGGCGTTTGCTATAGCAACGCTCCTTGCTTACGGTGAGTGCATCTTGCAAAACATTGTTAAAATTAACGTATGTACGTAAGAATTATTACAAATAATAGGCCATAGTTCTGCAATTGATCATTAGAAATGTACACTAATTCAATTAATTGCTGTTTTTTAAAGCGATTTTTTTTTGTCTATGTATGCCTAATTTATATTTATTTTTTATAAAAAAGACTAAGATATATTCTTATATTAAAATAATGATAAAAGGAGTACCTACCTACTTACAACGTAATTTCCTATAAAATAAAATTTTCATAATTCATGTATTTATTTATTTAAATATATTTATAGAAATATGTATTTCATATATTATAAGTAAATGGAAATAAAAATATCAACTGATTTTTACGTTCCGGCGGAAAGTTCCAACCCCTAGTGGTGCTGTCAGACTAGAGACAACCCCGAATTAAAAAAACTGAATGGAAGTTGACAATCCAGGACATTTCAGTTTAAAAAATAGGACGCAGTAATAAAGTATGTAGTGAAAATAAGTGAAATGAAAGACAAGTAATTAAAAGAATCATGTTTTTTAATGAAAGTTTCAAAAAAATTATACGAGTTAATAAATAGTTAAAATTAAAAACCCAGATGCTGCTTAAAATCTATGCAGGATGACCTAGGCACTACAAAAACAGGAGGATATGTGTGCGAAAATTGTATTGGCAACACTAACTCAGACTAAAGTCGCATTCGACCCGTCTTCCCGCGGTTTGGAGTGATTTTTGCACTAACTCCTATGGCTATCAGCCCTTATAAAGGCTAAGGCCAAAAAAAATAATTCGAAAAGAAAAATTATATATA